GATACGACTGTCAGGAAATTCACACGACGGGATGAATGTGAGTTCACCTCGAATTCGGCCTTGAAAGTCCCTTGCTGCTTTGCGAGTTCGGTGTGCTGTTTGCGGGCAGCAAACAACTCCTCTTCGATTGCCTCTGCCTTGTTCCTTTCTGCGGCGAGTTTTTGCCGCGGGATCTGAAGGTTTCCGTCAGCATTGTTGACCTTCGCGTCGAGCTCGGCGTCGGTGTCTGTGATACATTGAGCCTCAACGGATCCGGCACGCGTTCGAGATAAACTAACCGGGCATTTCCTGCAAATTTACGCGCGCCTCGTCCAAATCGGTCTGGACTCTAGCCATGCTTTCCTGAGCATTTTCGACGCGTAGGTAAACCTCACGGAAATGAGTGGCGTATTCGTAGAACTTTTGGTTTGAGACGACGAGTGCATCATACGCCTTTTTCGTCTCGTCATGCTCGACCTCTTTCGCAGCAATCGTCTGGTTTAGGTCCGCTATGCGGGCTTTGAGTTTGTCTGCGTGGGTTTTCTCGCGAGACAGCCCGTCCAACCGTTCTTTTTCGGTCTTCAGTTCAGCTACGCGGTCTTTGCGGAGAGCCTTGATTGAATCGAGGGCTTTGGTGTATCTGAAAAAACATCAGGCCAGTTGAATTGTCAGCAATAAAAAACGCACTTTGTAGCCTCAAAGATGTCGTCAAACTTCTTCTTCAAAGCTGCAGGTTCCGCCAAAGGCCAATATGAATCCTCTTGGTGGCAAAAAATGACGTTCTCAAGAACCGCCTTCGACACCCCAAGAAGCTGGGGGATCTCTACATCCATTTCCGCACACTTTGTGGATATCGTGGCTCTCTGCGACCCGCCGTGAGTCGTCTGGGAATTGAAACCACGAGAACACGAACCTTGCCACCTTTCTCATTATTGTCCGCGAGAGACAGAATGCTTTCGAGAGTTTTCATCGTCAACCCTGTAGTCTTTTTAACAGTTACGCTCAGATTTCGCACAGCCAGCATCCGAGTCCCGTTGGCTGCGTTAAACCGAAGCTTGACCTGCGCCTTGACCTCCTTCTCGTTCGCCATTTTGGGGTCGTGAACGAAAGCACCACCGCGGGTGTTCGGGGGCTGGTCTCCGGTCGTAGCATATTTAAGGCACTCGATGATAGTCGTTTTTCCGCTGCCATTGTGGCCGACAATGACCGTGACTGGGGTGAAGAACTCGATGACTGAAATTTGCTTGTCGTCGAAAGAGCGGATGCCACGGATGGCGAGCTTATTCAAAGACGCCATCCAGTTTTGAAACGGAGGGAGATGAGGGGGACTGAAGATCGAGGGTAAACAGAAAATAAACGCGGTCCAACTGGAGAGGAGGTCGCGGTAGGCGACGTGACTGTGACTGTGACAGGTCGTGTCGGAAATCGCCCGGCGGCCGCGGCCCGGCTGCCACGCTTTGACCTTAACCACATCCACGACAGGCACTCATGAACGCAGCACCCGCTCTTCCTGAAGAGCTCATCTGCTCAATCTTGGCGAACGCTTATTATAACGCTCCCTTCGGTACCCCAGATTATACAACCCTACTGGCATGTTCCCTTGTCAAATCTGATTGGAGGGTGCCTTCCCAAACGCTCCTCTTTCGGCGCATTACTACTCCTGCTGCCCCTTCATTCGCCCGACATGTAGCCTCGGCCAATGACCCAGCTCTCCTTTCCCACGTCCGAAGCTTTTCCACAGCGCTTGGGGTGGAGAATACTCCACGGCCTGACCGCGATTTCTGTACAGTGTCTGAATTGATCTTGATTCTCAAACACTGCCCGCAAATCTACGAGCTCAGTATCAGCGCGCACAGGCTCTTTTCATTAGGCTTGGACGGTATATCCGGGATAACCGCAGTGGTCCGCGCCGCTTCGATCAAAATCCGCTCGCTCAAGTTGGTCGATTGCAGCGTGCAATCGCCCATCCTCTACGAACTGCTCGCGCTTTTCCCCACTGTGGAGTTCTTGACACTCGGCGTTGAAATCGCCGCTTCTCCGCCAGCATGGACGCCTACGTTTCGATTGTACGAGCTCACGCTTCACCGCACATGCACATCAGAGGTGCTCGCTTGGTTGCTTTCGGCATCGGGCGAGTCTCTCCGTATTTTGGAGCTGCGCGATCTGCCGAGCGAGCGGACCCCGTCCGACCTGGCTATGTGCTGTCCGCACATCCAGTCCCTCCGCCTTATGCGCTTCAACGCACATAGTGCAATCATACTACGACGATGCACTGGGCTATTGGAGCTCGTGCTCTTGAACGTCCCTACTCTTGTTACTCTGCCGGAGCTCCCGCACTCGCTGGAGCATTTTGCGCTGTTGATTCAAACGTACACTACGAGCGTCGATTTGCGGCCAGTCATTGCGGCGGTTGATTCGCTGCCGCGCTTGCGAATTCTCAGTTTTATCGGGGATTTGCAGGATATTTCGCTTCTCAAGGCCAGCTGCGATGCAAAAGGTATAATCTTGCAGGCCAACTGGCGCAAGTTTTGGATCGTAAGTTTCTGACTTGCTCTTGTTGGAAAGACCGCTCATTTGACTCTCGCAGAACGATGATCCTGTAAAGGCAACGCGATTTCCGCGACGCCGATCGGTCTCGAATTTTTATCTGATGCGTTAGAACGTAGTGTACAATTTGGACTGTTTTCTTTATTTTTTTGTATCAAGAAAATTGTAGGAAGCCCCTGGCAAACAAGGACACATAACGCCCGAATTTTTGACAATGATGCTGTCCTCCGCCTTACGCGCTGGCCGGCGGACGTCTGCGCGATGCCTGCGCCATTTCTCGGCAACAGCAACGTCCTCCGCAGCACCGGCTGGCCCTGCGGCCCCTCTTCAGCTCGGTGCGCCTGCCGACCATCCGTCGTCGTATGGCAGCGCCGGCAGCAGCTCTGCTCCCCTTGCCATAGGCTCCGAGACGCCTGAAATTAGCGCAAAGTCTTCTGCCTTTGCCTCGCCGTCGGCGCCCCAGCTATCATCCGACCACGGGCTGTATGGTTTCTTCCGGCGCAAGGACGACCCAAATCTCCGCGGCGACGATCAGTACGATACATTTACGGACCCCAACATCAAGTACACCGGTCAGCACTCCGCTGGTGTCTGGCGCGCTGCATTACTCACCACTTAATCGTCAGGGAGGTCATGGCTCGCGTCGGAGCTGCGGCTGAAAAGCTTCAAAGACCTGCACACGCTCTGGTACGTGCTGCTACGTGAGCGTAACATGCTCGCGACCCAACGCGAGGAAATGCGGCGGTTGGGTCTTCCCCCAAGACGTTTCCCTCATGCGAACGCGGTAAACTCGGCCAAGGTGAGTTGCTCACATCTCGCATACATGTCACCGCTGACGCGGGTTTCCTTCTCGACAGTGCCGCAAGTCGATGGCGCGAATCAAGGCGATAATGAATGAGCGACGGCTCGCGTATGAGGGTGCGGTCGAGCTTGCAGAAAAAGAACGGGAGGAGGCGGAAGACGCCACGGTGCTCAAGTTCCAGGTTGACGTGGAGACGACGAAGAAGCACAAGCAGCATACGCTGCAGCTACGGCAGTGTCTCGTTGTCCCTGCACGACCAGCTACCAAAACGCAACGGGCGGGAGCCAAGTTTAAGGCGAAAAAGGACAAGGCGGCTCAATTGGCGCAGTCAGAGAGTCGGCCCGCAAAGGTAAAGATAGAGCCAGAGCTGTCCGACGATGGAAATATCAAGAAGCCACGGTGGACCAAGGAGCAGAAGCGGAAGCACTTGTTGCACAAGAAGCGGCAGGCGGAGGGGGGGTTCCTCAAAGTCCCCCAAGCGCTTGAATATAGCATAGAATGGTGCAATATATATAATAATCACTCAATTAGCGCAGGCTTATGTGCTGGTGTATGTGCTGCGCATGCTCGTCGGAGTCGTCGCATATGTGCTCAGCGTTCAATGATCCTCCTTTTGTTTCGTCTCTGGTGGCCCCAGTCACTCATCTCTTCGGACACCCAGCAGTCTTTGACCGACTTGTCTTCATACATGTTCACTTGACGCGTGTAGGCACGCAATAAATGCTCGATTACGCCGACAGCGCGCGGGGACGCCGTCGCGGCGTTCTTGCGGAAGGTAAAGCGTATCATCAGGTCCCATTTCGCGCGCGTCTCCGGCGGCTTGCTACGTGGTATGCGGAGCGCGCTACGAAGTCTCGGATCAACGCGCGCGCGAATTGGCAGCGGGGTGAGACACACCGGCGGTACAAATTCAGCACGTCTTTCTGTAGGCCAGAGTGACGAGCCGACATTCCGAAAAGAACGTTGCCTGCGAAAGTCGTCAATTGTCGACAGGCAAGAGACGAGGCGCGGGAGATGCTGCGTGGACTCGCCGCTCGGTGTGATCACTGTGAGCACTCGATTCATGGATTCGGAGTCGGATCAAAGTCGGGTACAAAAGACGTACAATCACGTGGAATGATACAGGGCCAAGCAATATAAAAACGCCTCCGACCCAATTAGGAAGTTGATGTCCACGCAAGTCATATCTGGTCACAGAGAGACTCCGCGAGACCGAGCTAATGTTCCAGAAGAGACATTGACTCTTTTACGAGCTGGCGACATACATACATAAAGCCCCTAACTTGACGAAATTCGATCGTTTTGTCTGAATTGTGAACATTTAAGCTCCCCCCGCGGTCCTGTCTGCAGCATGAAGCAAAAGAATGGAGATGGATGGATGTTATCTGCTGTTATCCGAAGGAGCTGGAAAGCTGTACATGCTAAGGATCGAGCCAACACCCCTCGTCAGCCGCCTAGACTCGATACGAATGGGACACAGGCGTTGCAAAGGCGTTGGAATTCTGAAGGAGGTAGACAAGCCTGGTAATGAGTTTACTCAACCGATTGAGACACGTTGGTGAAGGTTGATGAGGTCCGCATCATCTCTTGGAAACTTGTTCGATGTTGTACTCATCGCCAAATTTACATGGCACAATTTCGCCACAAACCAGCCAGGCGAGCGTCTGCGTATGGGCACGTAGTATAGGGGTTATTGCGTCCGCTTCGCATGGCGCTTGCGGAAGGTCTGGAGTTCGATTCTCCACTTGATTCGTCAGAAAGTTGGTCCCAACTCTGTGATGTGTCTTAGTTCTGCAATTATGGTTGAACCAGAGTCCCAATACTCTGTGTCAGGTCTGCCAAAGTCGCTCAATCCTACCTTCCCATAATTATCCTGCCGTGCGAACAAATCCAAGGTTCACTTTTCTTTTGGCGGCATCACTGCCATCAGATTCAGAATGCGAGTGATGCCGCACGGTCACATCGTGACAACTTTTAAAGTTTTCCATTGGTTTTCCATGCTCTCGCTCCGCCTCGCGCGCCGCTGTTCGTCGAACACCGCGAGACGGTACTCTACAGTCCCGGAAGCACCAACGGATCCGGTACTCTACTGCAGAGATCTTGTCCGCAAGCACGACTATGAGTCGTTTCTGATCAGCAAATTCTGGCCTGCGGGTCTGCATGATGGGTATTTTGCAATCAAGGCGTTCTCCGTGCGCGCGAAAATTCCCTTCGGCCCAGTTCGTTTATTTACTGGAGCAACAGACAGAGCTAGCGATGGTACAGGACAGCGTAAGCGTCGCGACCATCGGCGCGGTGCGCATGCAGTTCTGGCGGGACGCGGTGCGGGACATCTACGCTGTGCGTCGCGCGGAATAGGCACTCTACGGGAAGAGATTCCAGCTTATGCGTCGTGCAGGATCGGCCGCCACGACACCCGGTCGCCCTTGCGCTACATCGCGCGACGCAGGAGGCCAATTTGCCGGCGTACCATCTGAAGCGCATTGTTGACGCGCGGGATGAGGAGCTGAGAACGGGGTCATACCACACGAGCGACGCGCTGGTGGCGCACGCAGAGAGTGTGTCGTCAAGCGTGCTGTACCTCTTGCTCGGGCTGCGCGGGCTCGGCGCGGCGGAGGATTTGGCACACGCGGCGTCACACCTGGGTACCGCACAGACTATGGCGACGCTGTTGTGGTCATTGCCCCACCATGTGAGCCAGCGGCGGCTGCCGATTCCGCTGGATATCTGTGCACGGCATGGGGTGAATCAGGAGGAGGTGTTCCGACGCGGCGGGGATGCTGAGGGGGTAGATGCGGCGGTGTATGACTTTGCGGTACTGGCCAACGACCACCTCCTTACCGCACGCGAGGTCTTCAAAGACACCGGCGGCCAGGTACCGGCCGTGGCCATGCCAGTGTTTCTAGCCGGGGTTCCAGTCGCCAGCTTTTTGACACAACTGGAGCAGGTGAATTTTGACGCATTTGCACGATCCCTGGCCATGCGAGACTGGCGGCTATCATGGAGGATATGGAGGGGGTATTATAAGAGGGTGTTTTAATTGTGGTATTCTTCGGGCTGCTGAAATATCAATGTGCTCAAGCTTGACCTACAAGGCGGGGACAGTTTTCATGTCGAAGAGGGATGAGCCGCCGCGCAAGTCAAATTAAAATTTGTGTTTTGAGAGTATGTATTACAAAGTGATGAAGGCCGAATTGCGCGTGGTATATTCGATACAAAGTTGCCAGTGGTATTGAAAACCATTTGGTAGAGTCGCCCTCGGCTCTGAGCAGGTCTTCGCTATTTTTCTCTCTGACGACCAAACACTTGCCCGAAACAGATGCGAGGCGGGAGAAAGCCCAATTAGGACCTGTCACTTAGGCAAAACCGGGCCGGTGCCGAGGTGCGCGAATATTCAGTAACCACGCTTGCTCTGTACCACCACCACCGCCTCATTTTCCATTTCCACGCTTCATGGAGGCTCTACCCGACGAGATCCTCCAGCTCGTCTTCTTCAATCTCCAGGATCCCACCCACCTCGTCGCAGCGAGCCGCCGTTTCCTCCTCTTCTCACAGGACCCCTACGTCCGTGCCCACTACTTTCTCACCCGCCACGGGTCCATCGAGGCCCTTTACTATGCGCTCGCCCGTGGAAAGCTCCTGACCCCCCGCGTTCTGGATGTATGCTCCGCTTTTTTCTGTACCATGCCACCTGTCTCACTCGCCTAGATTCTCCTTGCCAGCGGTGCCCATATCTCGCGTTATCTTGTCCAGGTCGCTTTCCACCATTATTTTCACTGCCAGTCCCACTTCCTCAAACCCTCCTCCCCCTGGGCACGCCATGTCTCGCTTGAAACCTTTTCCTACTTTCTCCAGCTCGCAGCCCAGAAGTATGGCGAAATTCCCCGCGCAAAGGTCCGTCTCCGCGCCTCCGCGCCTATGAGTGTAAAATTGATAGACCACATCCAGACGGACGATGATGGCGCGCTCTTTGCCACCTTCATAAAGGAAGCAAAGTTCCCCGCCGACTCGCAACGCGTCAAGTGGGAAACCATCCGCGAAATCTTTGAGAAATATCATGTGTGTCCGTCCTCGCTTAGCACATTGAATGCTTGCCCATCTCCTCGCCAGTTCATTCCCTTTTGCCTCCGCGACCCCCTCATGGCCCAGTTCCCGCTGGCCCTCGCTATTGAACCCCGCTTGCTCCCCTACGCCGTCGAGAATGGCTTTCATATGGACGCCAAGGCACGTCTTTCTGTCCAAAGCCATGTGATGCCCTTCTTATGCACCACTCCAGTACCGCGACTTTGTCTTCCGCAAAATGTTCGAACGCTCGGCAGCCCCCGCCGCCGCTCACGCAGAAGATATTGTTACGAATGTGCGCGAGCTCTGCCGCCTTGATTCCGAGTGCGTGTCCCGTCCGTGATAGCGTATCAATGGGATCCTTATGCGCGCGCAGCATGTTCGTCACGCGTACTGTCGCGGCCGAAGTTTGCCTTGAGGCCAAAACAAATGAGGCCGCGTACAGCGCACTAAAGCAACTGGACCGTGCGGGCGACTTGTTCTTTTCCCTCGCGTATGTCGGCCAAATCAATTCCGCGAGTAACGAATTCATCTTTTTGGTTACAGTGAACTTGTGCAAGATGTCATTAAGGTGCTTATGGCTTGTTGCTGGGGTGAAAATCCCACGCTAATGAATACCCCACCAGCTCTTCGTTAATGCGCGTGCGATCACGAACTCGGCCACGTCCCAGATTCTTACACTGCTCTACACGGACTTTCTCGCGCCACCTCCCGTCCCCGCCGCTTATGCTTCCTCCTCGCGCCACACCCTTTCTGCCCGCGCTCAAGCCGCATCGGTTGACCCGACAGTTCGCCGCGCCATGCTTCTCACCGTTTTCGCCGCAGATCCTCCTATTGCCGTGGGCGCGATGCCTGCGCGTCTGGAGCCACTGCGGCTCGGACCCCTCAACCTCCAAGACGCGGCAGACATACTACTCAGCGCGTTCGTCGAGAAGCACACGCCAATGTGGGAGTATCTGCGCCGAGAAGGTGTGGCGAACGAGGAGAGGAGCTCGGCGACGCGGAAGGCGACGCCGATGGAGTTGGTCGCGCTTGCGGAGAACGTCGCGGTGCGATGCTTGACGCGCGACAACAAGGGGAAAACGCTTAAGCGACTGTGCGACACGTATTCAAGCGTGCGGAGGCGGATCATGCAGACCGTGCTGGGGGAGCATCAGGTGAAGATGGAGGCGCTGGGCGAAATGGCACCGGATGGTACCGGTCCCTGGCGCGCTCGGCTGGCGCGGCACATGGGCGGGATCGTCGTATCTGAGGAAGAAGGGAGCGATTGCGAATGGGAAGGGACGGGGCGGAGAAGATGAGGACGAGGACGAGGACGAGGACGAAGATCGGTATGCTGATTCAGATGAGGACGTCGACATGGAGAGCCTCAGTGGCGAGAGTGATCCCTGGGGAGGATGTAATCGCCGGAAAGTCCAAGCTCTCGGCACGCGAGTTGGGCGGTATAGGGCTCGAGCCGCTCAGCACGATGATTCGGCGAGATGAGACGCACGGCGGCCGCGGTCGCCGGCGGTATTTCCCCATGATATACGGGTCGGGTCAGAGCTCGCGCATCCCAACAGGTAAGATTCTTCCTGTTTCTGGACGCTGGCTGCTAATTGTGTCGACTGACGGCAGATCCTCTGTCCGTCTCGAAATGGATCAAGAGCGAGTTTGGCGCGTCTAGCAGCGTTACCGCGACGTTCCTACTCCACGCCGGTCATCAATGGGAATAGCTCGGTACTGTTGTCGGCAAGGGTCCACTGTTGGCCACCATGTGCTGACCCAGGGTGAACGCAGGTCCTGAGCGTGTACCTGAACCCGATCCCCGCGGCTGTGCCCATCACGCTGAAGCACTTCCAGGCCCTGGCCCAGCTCGGGAGCGCGGCGGCGGTGCGTAGCACGTTCTCGGTCCTGGCCCTCAGGCTGCGTGCGTGTGTGTAATGCTGACGCTGTTTGTGGCGCGGCACAGGACTTCTACCTGTACGAGCGCATCAAGGCGGGTGCGCCGTTCTATGCGACCGAGGATGAGTACCTCGCCGGTGCAGACACGGCTCGCTTCCTGCTGAAGAAGTTGAGCAAGGGCAAGGGCAAGGAGGGGGCGCCAGCGCCCACGACCCCTACCCGAGTCAAGGCGGAGCCGGTGGAAGCCGTCGCGTCCGGGTCAGGGTCGCCATCCCAGCGCGGGAGGAAGCGTCCGCGGCGCTCGGCCGCGACGGCTGTCAACTCGTATGCGGTGCCCGACTCGGACGACGAGGCGATCGCTGCGGAGGAGGACCGCAACGACGAGTTTGCTGAGTTCCGCATGGGTGCAGGGGCTGAGAAGAAGAAGCTGGGGAAGGCGGAAAAGGTCGAGACGCACTTGGAGATGTGGATCACGGCGCTGGATGGACTGTTCAAGGAGCAACAGCGCAAGGTGTGTTGGGCGTATGTGTTTGGATTGCGGTGGACGCTGACGTGTATGGCTGCAGTACCGGGAGAAGAAGAAGCGTGTCGAGAAAGATTACAAGGAGAAGCCCGCGGAGTCTGGGGGAAAGCTGCGTGTGGCCAAGGTGCGTCGTGTCTACCATGCGCTTGATCCCCCTCTGACGGTCTGGCGCAGAGCGACTTTTTCCGTTCCTTGACGACGAACCTACGTCTGCTACGCGAGCTCAATGCACAGAAGCGCATTTTCCGTGTGGGGACCGGGGAGGACTGTTGTGGACAGCGAC